AAAAAAAAAAAAAAAAAAGATTACCTATACAATCTTTAAACCTTAAATCTCAAAACAAAACTTTCCCCAAAAGTCTGCTTTGAACCAAACAACAGCTTAGCTTGCTTATGTCTTCCTTGAGCACAGAGCTCTTGAAAGGATCACTGTGAATACTGTTTAAAGAATAGATAATAAAGGAGAGGGCAATATATGGCAAAATTCCAGACATGAATGAGAGTGATTATGACTAAAGAGCCCTGGTGGTGTAGTAGTTAAGAGCATAGCTGCTAACCAAAAGATCTTCTATAAAGATAACAGCCTTGGAAACCCTATGAGGTATTCTACCCTGTCCTGTAGAGTCACTGTGAGTCACAATTGACTTGATGACAATAGTTTGTCTGGATGTTTTTATTTTTTATTTTTTATGAACTATGCCACCAGAGCTCTTTTATTTATTTATTTTTTGGTTAGCGTAGTGGCTATGGAATGGTGAAAAGCGGTAAGATTTAAGATGTATTTTGAAGGTAGGGTTTATAGGATTTGCTGATTGAGTGAACAGAAGAGATGAGAGTAATAATCAATGATGACTTAGGTTTGTTTTTTGTTTTTGCCTGTGTGATTGGAAGGATATGAATTACTATCTACTGAGATTTGGAGGGTGGGGGAGAAGCAGATTTAGGGAATCAATAATTGCATTTTAGTGTTACATTTGAGATACCTTTTAGATACCTCCAAGTAGAAATGTTCTATAGTAGTCAACTACAAGAGTCTGGAGTTCAGGGCAAAAAGCATATATCTGAGAGTAACTGGTGAATAGCCAGTACTTAAAATTTCCAAGGAGTAAGTGTGGATAGAGTAAAAGACTGAAGAATGAACCCTAAGCTTTGCTAAATTTAAGAAATCAAGAGAATATGGAGGAACCAGGAAAGAGGTCTGTGAAGTGAGTCAATGGAGAGGTCAAACCATGAAAGTATGCTGATCTGGAAACCAGAATAACAAAGTGATTCAAAGAGAAAGTAGCCAACTGTGTCAAAAGCTACTGGTAGATACAGTAAGATGAGGATTGAGAATTTACCATGGAATTTATCACTGGAGCAGTCATTAGGGGCCTTGACAAGAGCAGTTTGGTAGAACTGTGGGTGTAAAAGCCCATGTGGAATTATTATAATCAGTTTTGCTTTAAGAGGAACAGAGAAACAGGGTAGTAGCTGGAAATTCTAATTTTTTAAAGACTGGAGATAACATAATGTCATGCAGATGGAAAAGAGCCAGTTGAGGGAAATAGTTGGTAATGCAGGCAAGGAAATGGACATAAGAGGGAAATCCAGGATGGAGCCCAGTGGACGTGTGGCCAAGCAGCCACTCATAGGAGTGGGGCAGACTATCCTACAACAAAAAGAAACTCAGAGCCTGGGATCTTAAAAGTGTGCAAGAGGCCATCCAAACTACAATACGTCGCCATTTACCTGGAGTAACAGAGGAAACAGAAGAGTCAGTAATTGGAAGAAGAAATATCACCACCATGAACATCTGCCTCCTATGTCATGAGACCAGAAGAAATGGATGATACTCAGCTACCATTACTTAGTTTTTTGACATAAAATTCTATAGAATAATCCTGATCAAAAGGGGGGAAAAATCAAAACTGAATTTTAAATTCTCAATGTAATCCAGACCTGGTGCCATTGAGGCTGGATGAACACTAGAAAGCATCTTTAAACCTTAAACCTCAAAACAAAACTATCCCAAGCAGTCTGCTTTGAACCAAACAACAGTTTAGTTTAATTATGTCTATCTTGAGCATTGAGCTTCTTTAAAGACCTATGTATGTGGGATCAAACTGACAATAGGAAGCAAGAGTTTAAATAAAGGGAGTGAGTTTATGTTAATGGTGGTGGAATAATTTGGAAAAGGATATCAAGAATGGTTACACAACTTGAAGACTGTAAACAATGTCACTACTTTGTACATATATAATTTGTTGAAATGGTATATCACTTCCTGTGCATATTTTCACCAAGAGGTAAAATTTAAAAATGAAAAAAAAAGATGAAGAAACTCAGCACACAGGTACAGATCCAGGGTTAGTAGCTCTACTGGTGGTGAGGTACACAGACTTTTCTAATAACTTTTCTTTTCCCTGTGCAGCCAAAAGCAAGGTGGGGAATGAGAAAGGTGGAGAAGAATAAAGTTTGGGAAGGTGTGCAAAGACCTGCCCAGTGATGAATTGTAGTGAACTGTCTAGCAGTATCCAATAGAAATAAAATGCAAGCCACATATGCAATTTTTAATTTTCCAGTAACTACATTATAGAAGTAAAAAGAAACAGATACAATTGGTTTCAATAATATATTTCATTTACACCAATATATCCATTGTCATTTCAACATGGAATCACTTTAAAAGCTATGAATAATGATAGATTACTTTCTTGTTTTATAGTACTAAGCTTGCAAAAGCCAGGATGTATTTTCATTGTCATCACATCACCTTTCAGACTAGCCATATTTCAAGTGCTCAACAGCCACGTATGCCACACTGGACAGCATAGGAAATGAAGTAAGACTAATAGACAATACTGAGGACTTCCATGAGATTTGGAGTCATGGAATTAAGCGAGACTGGCATGGTTGTGTTTTTGCTAACAGCGTTCAACCAAAGGAAAAAAGAGGAAGGGAATCAGTGAGATACACAATGAAATGACTACATAGATTGACTATAGAACACAAGCTACAGTACAGTAAGCATCAGTTCTGGAGGTGGGGTAGGAAGGGGGAGGCAGAGGAAATGAAAAGGTGGAAGAGCAATGGGGGTTCTGGTAGGGTCAAAGAACTTTTGGAATTACAGATGCCATATAATATGCAAAGATATCTAGAATAATCCCTGCCCTCAGCAAGCTGATTTTGATGACAGGTCTACCAACAGTCATGCCATAGGGAGTTATATGATAAATGCCATGTCAGTAGCACAAATAGTACTCTAGATGAGTCCATCTCCTACTGGGATGATCCAGAAAGAGTTCATGGAAGGAATGGTTGGGTGGTACACTGGGCACTGAAGGAGGAATAGGATTTTAATTAGTCTATGGGAGATACTTTTCAAAGTGAGGACAAAGCATAAGCATAGGCAGAAAAGCAAAAGTGTTTGCTATTTTTTGGGGGAATGATTAAAAAATCTTAATATTTATTGAGAGAACTATTAATTACAATGGGGGAGGGAGCCTATAAGTAACTATAGGTCTTTAGAGAAAGAGTCTGGGATAATTTCCCTATGGAAGAAAAGCCTCACCATAAAATAAAGGGATTCTGCCAAAGACAGTGTTCCCTAGGTGTGAGAGGACTGGGTCCCAAAGACTGTACTCCAACATGCCCTTCCTTCCCAGCCTACACACACAGAGACAGACAGACACACACACACAGACACACACACAATTTTTCATCTTTCTTTTAGAATTCAATCTCAAATACTTAATTCTTTTCTATGGAAATACCCAGTTAGTTATATCTTAAGAGATGCAATGCAATTACCTTTCATCCTCAGATTCTGGAAGAAAATATTTGGAAGCAAGTAGAATTAAATAATAAATGACTTATCTTACAGTACAGAGCAGAAAATCAGAATCTGTGGGATTAAAAAGGCTTGATTACTATTAATACTTTTTTAATAGTATTCTCTTATGATACAGACCCAGTTCACAACTTTTTTAGAAAACAAGCTACATGTATATTTTGTTATTTTTTTCCTAAATCTAATGCCATTTCTACGAATATTTTAGAGGATAAGAAATATTTCAATTTACTTTGATTCTCAACATATTCATCACTGAACAGTAAGAAATACAGCTTTTCCTAAGTATGTGTAAATCAGTATTGCAGGAAAAAAAAAGATTAATAATTATCTTCTCTCTTCCAACTTATAAATGTTTAGGGAAAACTGCTAGTGTATCCACTCTCCTTTTCTTCAGAAGAATCTTCTGCATCAGTTGGAATATTTAGAAATAGTAAGAAGAGCTACATGTTTTCACATCAGGATTTTATAATACTGTACTTTGTATTTACACATCACATATCCTTGGTACTTCATAATTCATCATTATTTTACATATATCAATCTATATATGAAAGCACAAGCTTTAGAAGTAACTTTCCTGCTGTCTAACACAAGGTCATTAATGCCAGGAATAGAATTCGTACTTACTGATACATGTGGTCTCACAGTAGCTAACAACCATTCTCATAGTATAAAATAATGCTCAGTAAGTAGAACACAGCAATTATCAAAACTATTTATTCAAGAAACTTTAAAGAACCATGACTCTTAAGTCATATAAATAACCATATTAAACCTCAAAGGCCTACACTAATATGAATATACATTAGGGTATTTTTCAATCAAAATTAATAATATGATTTAATAAATAAATAAATAATCCATTCAGCTCCATAAAGTAGAATATATTTCCATCAAAAAGTCAGCAAATATGTCAACATACTTAAAGATGTGAACTATTACTTAAAAAAAAAAAATCACAAACATTCTAGAATTATGAAGGACACAGATGTCACTGGTCAAATTGCTATAGATGTTATCATGGCTTTCTTACTGGTAATTAAACATCTGCTGATTTAATTAGGAAGGCAAGCTCCACAGTTCTCTTAGTAGTCTAGCTGTGGTTTTAATCCTGGAGTCTTTAACACTCATACATCTGGGAGATTCTGTAAGATCTGTCTCAAGGAAGCACAGGCTACCATGTGTGAATCCGAGGGAAGATTAGCAAGCGATTGAATCAGCTTCTTGACTATTGTCTTCAAACACTGGTGGGCAGCATTCAAGTCTCTGTCAAACTGCTGTCCTTCAATCTGTAGAGCCAGATGACTGCAGATGTTTCTAAATTCAACACTATCCTGCAATAAACATCAAACAGAAACAAGAAATTAGGTACATTAAGGGCGGCATTTGCTGTGTTTTGCTTACCCACCCTCTAATTCCTTCTCTTTTGGTAATTGGTGTTGTTAGCTGCCATAGAGTTGGCTCCTGACTATGTTGACCCCATGCACAGCTGTACAAAACGTTGCCCAGAGCTGTGTTATCCCATGACTGGACTGTTGTGCTCCCTAGGCTGATTTCAGGAAGCAGACTGCCAGGTGTTTCTTCCTTTTTGGTGAAACCATCACAGTTTTTCTCTCAGGGAACTGTTGCTGTGTGCCATTGGGTCTATTCCAACTCATAGGAACCCTAGAAGGCAGAGTAGAACTGCCATATGGTTTCCTAGGCTGAACTCTTTACAAAAGCAGATAACCAGGTCTTTTCTCCTGCAAATTAGCTGGTGGATTCGACTGCAGACCTTTCCAATTAGCAGCTAACAACTTAACCATAGCATCATCAGACTCCCTCTTAGAGAATTACCTTTCCTCCTTCTCAGCCTATGTGGCTTGATCCACACTGACTTCAACTCACAACTCCAGTAAGTTGGAAATGACTCAACAGCAACTGGTGAAGTACATTAACAATGTTGTACAATCACTGCCATTACCTAACTCCAGAATATTTTCATTACCCAAAAAGCCTGTACTCATTAAGCACTCCATATTCTCTGCTCCTTGAACCCACTGTTGTTGTTGTTGTTGTTATGTGCCATCGAGTCGGACCTGACTCATAGAGACCCCTCCTTGGATTTCCCAGGCAGTATCACTACGGAAGTAGATTGCCCCATCTTCCTTCCGAGGAGTGGCTGGTGGTTAGCCAGCCTTCTGGTTAGCAGTCAAGTGCCTTAAGCACTATGCTACCAGAGCTCCCATGGCAACCCCTAATTTGCTTTATATCTCCATGTTTTTGTCTATTATGGACATTTCATATAAATGGAACCATAAAATATGTGTGATATTTAATATCTGACTTTTTCACTTAGCATGTGTTTTCAAGGTTTATCTGTGTTGTAGCAGGTAGTTCACTCCTTTTTTGGTTGAATAATATTCCCTTATACACATATGCATGTATATAAATATGTATGTGTGTGTATATATATATAAACTCACTGCCATCAAATCATTTCCAACTCTTAGCGACCCCTCCTTGGGTTTCCAAGGCAATATCTCTACAGAAGTAGATTGCCCAATCTTCCTTCCCAGGAGTGGCTGGTGGGTTTGAACTGCCAGGCTTCTGGTTAGCAGTCAAATGCCTTAGGCACTAATATGCCAAATTTCATTTATCCATTCACCAGTGGATGTACATTTGAGTTGTTTCCACCTTTTGGATATTTTTTAACTGCTAAGAACATTCATATATTTTCAGTTTTCTTGAGTATAAATCTAGGAATGGATTACTGAATCATATGGTAATTGTGTCTAGCTTTTTCAGAAACCTCCAGAGTACTTTCCAGAGTGGCTGGACTATTTCATAATTTCAGCAGCAGTGGATGAGGGCTCCATTGTACCTATATCCTCGTCAACACTTCTTATTTTCTGGAGTTTTTTGTTTGGTTAGTTGGTTGGGTTTATTATTATTAACACTATTACTCTGGTAGTATAGCGCCTAAGGCACTTGACTGCTAACCAGAAGGCTGGAGGTTCAAACCCACCAGCCACTCCTCAGAAGGAAGGTTGGGCAATCTACTTACATAGTGATACCACCTCAGAAACCCAGAGAGGGTTGCTATGAGTCGGGTCCCACTCGATGGCACATAACAACAACAACAACAAGTAGGTGTTAAATAGTAACTTACTGTGATTTTGATTTGCATTTCCCTAACAACTAATGATATTGAACATCTTTTTTTGTGTTTATAGACCATCTGTATATTTTCTTTGGAGAAATGTCTAGTTGAGTCCTTTTCCCACTGTTTAATTGGGTTGCTTGTCTTTGTTTTTCCAATAGATTTTCAATCTCTAAATGTTTCATATTCTAAAATCCACTGAATGTAAATAATACACAAAAACTATTCCACATTAGAGATAATAGTGAATACATTATCTCTTTTAAATACATGGAAATCATGTCTCCCAAACTTCTGGTTCTAGCAACATGGCACACTCAGTAACCTGAAAATGCCTTGCTATTGAATTCATACAAACACTAATAAAATAGAACAAACATTCTTTCTGAGTTAAGTATGTGTAAATCAGTATTGCAGGGGAAAAAAAGGATTAAAAATTATCTTCTCTTTTCCAACTTACAAACATTTAGGGAAAACTGCTAGTATATCCACAAGAAAGTAAGAAGATCCCAAGGCCCAAAGAAAGAAAGAAAAGGAAGATTACTTTAACTGCCCATCAGCGCCCATCAAGAAAGAAAAGCTGGTGTCTCTTGAGCTAGGTTTGAGGGAAATAAGATTGCCCCTGAGAATGTGTAACTATGGAACTGTACCTACAGGAGCTTAAATTTTGGAGTTTCTCTCTATACCATATATATGTTCTAGAAAGGCCTGTACTAGAAATTAACTTAAAAATTGGAACTGGGCTGGAGATGCCCATGGACACACAGGAAAAGCAAGCAAGACTTATTCTAGGGAAACAAGTCCTTAACCCAAGCACACAGTAATTCTCACAAAGCTCCACCTCAGACAAACTCAAAATATTAAATATAAAATACAATCTACCATGATACAGCAGGTGCAATGCAAGGACAGGATAGACACTACAAAATAATTACATTTAAATTGATTGAAGATACAAAAGAACAAATTTTTAAAAATATCTTAAGAAAGGGGAGCTCTGGTAGCATAGTGGCTAAGACACTTGCCTGCTAACCAGATGGCTGGCAGTTCAAACCCACCAGCCACTCCTCGGAAGTAAGGTTGGGCAATCCTACTTCCGTAGTGATATTGCCTCGGAAACCCAAGGAGGGGTCGCTATGAGTCGGGGCCGACTCGACAGCACATAACAACAACAACAACATCTTAAGAAAGAACAGGCAGGTTTAAAAAAGAACCATATACTACTTCTAGCAATGACAACTATACTGACAAATTAAAAATGTAGTGAGTGTCTTAAACACCTAATTAAATGTATCTGAAATGAGAATTAATAAATTGGATGGTAAATATGAGAAAATTACTGAAAATACAAGATGAGAAGATGAAAACATGAACAATATAAATGAGAGGTTAAGCATCATGGATGACAGAACAGCAAAGCCAAGCAAATATATTTCCAGGGAAGATAAGAGAGACAATATTCAAAGAGAATAATAGATGAGAATTACCCAGGATTGATCAAAGGCATGAATCATTGGATTGATTCAAAAGTGAAACAAGACTAAACTAAACAAGACTCAAATCTAAACTCATTGAAGTTTTGAAAAACTTTTCAAAGCAATCAGAAAGGAAAAGCCAGCTGTCACTCAAAGGACAGCAAGACAGATCGCAAATTTCTCAACTACAACTCTTGAAGGTAGAAGAACATAGACTAATATCCTCCAGTAGCTGTTAACCCAGATATTTTATTTTATATTTTTTTAATCCAACTAAACTATCACTCAAACCTGAAGCCAAAATAAATACACTTTTTCCTTTAAAAGGATAGAAGGAGTTTCCAGGAAGAGGTATTCACTGTTAGAACATTCTGAAGATGCAGTTCAGAAAGAAGAAAATCATCTCAGAAGAATGAGATCAACAAGTCATAGTGAACAAATGTTTACGTGAGTGTAAATAACTGATGGTTTGAAACAAAATTATAACAACTAATTTGGGATTTACAAAAGCAAGATGATTCTAAAATGCTAACTGTATTACTTAAGAGAATGGTAGCCAAACTGATACATTTTAGACTTGTTAAGCATACATTTGGGAAATGTAAGGGTTATTAAAGTAGAGAAATAATGCATTAGAATCAGTAGAGGGAAAGGGGTTGAAACTTTATTGATTCTATCAATTAAAGTTCCAAAACCAAAACCAAACTCACTGCCATAGAGTTGATTCCAACTTACAGCAACCCACACTGGGTTTCTAATCTTTACAGAAGCAGACAGCCCTATCTTTCTTCCATGGAGCAGCTGGTGGATTCAAACCACTGACTTTTTGGTTAACAGCCAAATGTCCTAACCTCTATAACACCAGAGACCCTTATCTATACATGGCCACCAATAAAACCAAACGCACTGCCATAGAGTCAATTCCGACTCATAGGGACCCCCAGTGGATTTCTGAGGTGGTAAATCTTTACAGAAGTAGATTGCCCCAACTTCCTTCTCCAGAGTGGCTCGTGGGTTTGAACCACCAGCTTTCTGGTTAGCTGTCAAATGCCTTAGGAACTATGCCACCAGAGCTCCTTACTACAGAGGGTCACTCAAATTCACTGCCATTGAGTTGATGCCGAATCATAGTGACCCCTCCTTGGGTTTCCGAGGTGGTATCTCTATGGAAGTAGATTGCCAAGTCTTCCTTTCGAGGAGTGGCTGGTGGGTTTGAACTGCCAGCCTTCTGGTTAGCAGTCAAGTGCCTTAGGCACTAAGCCACCAGAGCACCTCTACAGATGATAGAGGTAGAGAAATAAAGACACAAGCATAAAAGCAAGATAAAGAGAAAGCACCAAATAAGATGGTAGAAATAACTCTAAATACTATCAGACGACACAGTAAATGCAGTAAGACAAACTTGCCTTTTCAAAGATAGTAGTAACCAGAGTTGATTTTGAAAAATCTAGCTATGTACTGTTTATAAGCAACATCTTTAAAACTAAAAGCACATAAATACTGAAAATAAATGGATACTAAAAGATACACAAGATAAAGACAACCCAACATAAAGCCAGTAAAATCTTTACTAGGAAAAAAATCAATTATAATAAATTAAAACGATTACCCAAGAAGAGAGAACAATTGTCTACTTGTGTATGCCTCATATCACAGTCTCAAAACACAATCCACTCACAACCATAAACCCAGCTTTCTCAGAAACTGATATATCATA